TGACTGTATGCCCTTGTATTATCTGAGCAGCATCAGAGAGAGAGAGGGGGAGAATTAGAGAGAGAGAGAGAGAGAAAGAAGGAGGGAGCATTTTTATATTACGGGATACTTTTCAGGCTTAGGTTGCTAAAATGAAATTGTTCCGTTAATCCTCTTGGACACAGAGCTGTCTACCAGCAATGGAGATAAGGATTTGGGTCCTTATCAGTCCCAAGCAGGATTATCACTTCTAATTTTAACATCAGTCACTCCTTAGTTAGCAATTTTTTAACTGACCGGTTTCACAATTCAGCCTGAGCATGATTATCTCTTTTTCTGCTAATAATCAGGATTTTTTGCTGTAAAGCAAGACCCCAAAGACTACAGAATGGAGTTATCTCCTGTACAGGATGAGGAAGAGCTACCATACTGCTCTTCTGGGATAGGTTCCCTCAATGATGAATGTAAACTCAACTTCAGAATATCTCTAAAAATAAAAATTAGGAGTACTCCAGTTCTAGAAGCCTGCCAGAGGTGGTCTTGTCTATTACGGACTATATGTGGGAGATATGGAGAGAAGCACCCATTCCCTCACATTACAACCCCAGGGATGGAATAACACATGCTGAGGCCCTATAGCATTACCAAAAACAATTTGCATTATTTTAACAGAAAAGATAATGAAAATAAAAATAATAATTTTCATATTTGCATATACCTTGCTACATGAGCAAGGATGCAACTAAGTATTTTTTTTATTTGGAGGCCCCTCATTTTCTGAGGAACTAAGCTTTAGCTTACTTAGTTTGTGCATACATCCCATTTCATGACAACCTCCTGAAGTTTGCATTTCTCTACAGGCCAGTTTCTCCTCCCAGCTTTCCTTTTCCCAACTATTCAGGTTGATCAAAATGCACTCCTTCACCACTCTGTTTTCCTATTCACTTTCCTCCTATGTGTCCTCTTTTCAGGTCTTCTCCAAATTCCATCATCAACCCCTCAGTCATCTTTGTATCTCACTTTCTCCAGTTCCTTCTGCTTCCCCTCAGTTTGCCCCCTTAGCTCTCCATTCTTTCACCATCATGGTTTGCACATTTTTTACTACCTTTTTAGGCATGTCCCCATGAGGAAATTAGTATTTAATAACTTCCAAAAGAACTATTCCACAATAGCATATCTACACTACAGGGAAGCCTCAAAATTAGTCCAAGGCAGACTCCCTTAATGGGGACATGCTACCTTGACTTAGAGCCCCAGGAAACACTGGGGAGTTAATTACTTTGAATGACTCTAGAGAGTAGTTATTTCAAAACAGTAGTAAGGACATCCACATTACTGCTATTTTGAAATAAGCATTATTTCTTATGGAAAGCAGGAGTTATTCTTTTGAAAAAAACATCCCCTTATTTCAAAATAATGGTCTTGGTAGTGTGGATGCTCCACTTGTTATTTCAAAATGGTGTAAACCAGGACTTTAGGTCCTCCTTAAATCAAATGTAAAGCAGAAAATGGAAAAGGAGCAAAGTTTTTAAGGTTTGAAGTTGCTTTTGGATCTGAGAAGATGGAAAAAGAGAGCAGAGAAGAACAATGGAAATGCTCCAAGGCATGGAATGATTTCAGTTTGAAGAGGGAGTGAAGAGATTAGGACTCCTTCATTTAGAAAAATATGCAAATAAGAGGGAGTATAATGCAGGTCCCATGATAATGAATGGAGTAGAGGAGGTAAATCACATGTTCCTAAATACCATGCTGCTTTTAGCAGGGGTTAGACTTGAGGATCTCCAGAGGTATCTTCCAACCCTATGATTCTATGAGTCTACTCTTCCTTTTGATACAAGAACACAGCATAACCCAGCAACATAAAAAGATGACACATGAAAATAATGAACTAATAATGAAAATACTTAAAAAAAATCCAGTGCATAATTAACTTGCGGAATTCCAAGATTGCTGTGTGATAGAGGTGTGTGGGGTTAGATGTCCATCAGGTTTCCGAGCATCTACTGTTAGAGCTATTAGAACTTTAAGGATGCAGGGCAGCTATGGAAATACTTTCAAGTTGCATGTTGTTCACTGATTGCTGTTCTAAATTATTCATTCTTGCCCCTGACGTGTACCTGATGTGTAACCTGCAGGGAAGTTAGGGACATGAGAGATATAAGTTAGGATGTTGCTGCTGAGAATCAGCAAGGGGAAATTTGAGGGTTGAGGCAAGAGGCTAACTTGGCATTAAATAATCATGAACTTATCCAGATGTGATCCTTCATCCCTTTGCTTGCTTGTTCCTTCTCTTCCTATTACACCTTCTATGATGTCTAGCTAGGTGTCTGAAATTAGAAAGAAAATACTCTATTGGAACATTGCTTCCTAATTATTAATAATTATCAAACACAGAAAGACTTATTCTTAGGTACTTCTCATGGTCAAAGTCAGAAATAAATAAATCAGTGAGTGCATCCAACATTATACATCAAAGCACAAAGCACTCATAGTTTCATGAGGAGTTGCACTGACGTAAAATGCTAGCAACTGCACGGACATTTAAGGCAGCTAGCATAATTGGCCTTAGAAAGTGAAGAGAATTACTCTCAATTTAAACTGGGATAAGTGAGACATGAAAATTGATACTAACAAAGACCTCAAGTCGACTCAAAATTTCATGGGCCTTGTTGAGCACTTGCCTTATATTATATAACATTCTAAAGTTTGTACTAATTCCTTAGACAAAACTCCTACTGAAGACAAAATATTATTTTTTCTTAAGGATGAGATTGTGGCTGTTAAGGCCAACAACATGTGAGTGTGTGTTGTAAGTGCCAATTGGTCTCCCAGAGTCATTCTGCCTGCAAAGAAGTTGAAATCAATAAGAATTTGTTAAAATAAACAAGGAGGAATTGGACCTCAAAAAACAAACAAACAAACAAACAAACAAACAAACAAACAAACAAGAACAGCATCTAACTGAGTTAGGAATCCTGAAGTTGTCAAGATGCACTTAATCAAATTCTGACAGCAGTGAACACCCTCCCTGACATTTTAAAAACTGTTCTGGAATATATAACAATCTGGAATTCATTACAGAAATCTAGATTATTTGTTATATAACTGCCTACATAGATGAGCCAAATTCTCTTCTGAATAATTTACCCTAGTGGTATAACTCAATAGAAAGTGAAGAGCATTACTTTCAATTTAAACAGGAGTAAGTGAATCATGAAAACTGATACTAATGAAGACCTCAAGCAATAAAGTATAAATCTCATCTATTGGATATATTTCTAAGGAAATCTACTTCCTATATCTTTTTGTTTAAATTACTTATTCTTCTTTTTCAAAATGATTTATTATTACCAAACACAAATCCTAATCCTTGCTATCATGTCCTGCAATATTGGGATTGGGGTATTACTCTAAACAACGTGGATTACAATTTCAAATTCAAATATGGATGCAGACTGCTGGAATTTTAAAGTTAATAACAAAAAGTTAACCAAACTCTCCTTACCACTTTATATTGGTATTTAAAATTATATATATTCATGTATATAAGCATAATGATGTTTAAAAAGGAAAGACAGTGCATTTATATTATGTATATTGTTATATATATTTTTTCTTTTAAACACATTATGATATTTTAATATAGTAACAAAATAAATAATGTAGCATTCCTTTTTAATAAAATAGAGAATATGCTACAAAATAACTGAAAACAGGCCTGTTTTCCTACAGCATTTAACAGTCATTAATTAATAACTGATTGATCGATTGATTGGAAAATCCTTTTTATGACATGATTTTTTAAAAAATCTGACATAATTGTGAAAGTTTGAATAATATATTCATCTTTTAATTGAGAAGGAATGCTGAGAAATTAGCTATGCAAATGTAAGACAGATTACTTGAAAAAAAATGCACATGACTGAGTGTTTGGATGATCATTGCCAACAAAAATGATTACTTGAAGTGTTATTAAAAACAAAACAAAAAACATCAAACTGATCACAGCTCAGCAGCAATATACTGCATTTCATCATCATAATCAGGAATGAAACAGTATTAAAGGATGGTTAATCTAATTTGGAAGCCAAATGCTCCTTGCTTAAAAACATTTTTAGTGGCTGTTTTATATTTTAGCCATTAATTGTTCATTACAGTACATTAGACACCCAGATGTTTACTCTAGTAATATGTACTGTCCAAAACAAAACCATCGTTTTCCCTGTTAAAATGTTGCAGTTTATTTCTACATACGTTAAATATGGCTTAATTAAAACAAATTTTACTTCTGTTTGAAAGTTCACAGAAATTCATCACATTCAAGGATTTTCTATGGTGTTTGCAACCAATTCTTGCTTGAGTGGCCAACAAATAGCATGCATCATTTTCCTTGTGTTAATATTTAATCTTCTTTGAACCTCTTCCCTCCACCTATACAAATAAAATATAAAATTAAATTCCTTAATTCAGAGCAAGATTCTGGAAGCCATTACACAGAGACTGATCCATTTTCCATTGATATTTATGGAAAAAATACAACTACTCTTAATGCGTATTGGAACTAGTCTCAAGTACATAAGCAGAGGAGAGGATGCAGTGAGTTTACCACTACAGTTGTACTCTGGAGCAGCAGGCAAATAGAATCCTGATGCTTGCAGTTCTTCATTACAGTCTTCATTTGATTGTTAAAGCCAATAGCAAACTGTAGGGGTCAATTGAGGAAGAACTTTGTATGTGATAGTTTAGGGGTGGTGAGGCCTGCATTCCTTCCCCCCTTTCCCTTTTCCTTATATCTGATGAGCCAGAAGCAAGTCTTTAGGAACATGTGCCATTTAAGATAAGCATTGTTGCCAGCATAGCAAGAACAAGTATAAGATAAGGTTAAGAATGCATAAACAACTCTGTTTACCCTAAAGTACTTATCACGGAAACAGGGACAAAGGACAAGAAGAACCAGATCAGAACCAGATCGATAACTAACAGCTAAGCTTTACATCAGCACTAATGAGTAAGCCCTGGAAATTTCCAAACTTCCAAACAGCAGGCTGTCTCAGAGCCTAGCAAATCGGACTTCGAGGATGGGCTGTGGATGCCAGCGCCTCAGAAACTGAGACAACCTCCCACTTCGTCCGTGGCCTACCCGGGATCCCAGGCCTGCAGAAGGGATGTAAGATATGCCGCTTCTTTGTTATATTGTTCTTCCATCTATGGGGCACAGCTGTTAGCTGTCAAGAAATTAACTGTTTGTGCTTGACAGATACCTGTGTGGCGCCCTTTGTACTTTCGGAACCCAGTGTCGGACCTTAGACTTACTCTTGCCGACTACACAAACTAATCTCCTCAATGGGCTAGGGTTTGGAACCTGCTATCTATCTATCTATCTATCTATCTATCTATCTATCTATCTATCTATCTATCTATCTATCTATCTATCTATCTGAGTGCATCTGTCTGTGTGTCAGTTTGTTCATTTGTTCAAGAACTCCTTGTAAGCCATAAGAGCTAGGACCACCACATTTGGTATGCAGCTTCCTCTTATCCTAACTTAAACCCAGGTCAGGGTTTGGTTGTACCTGAAAAACAGAAAGTTCCATGAATGGG